AGAGGAAAAGACAGCTGCTTTGAAGGTTGTGCAGGTTAGTTGAGGAAAAACTGGAAGAAATACTTAAAAGTAATTCAAGGAATACAGGAAATATAATATGTGCAGAGGTCTGTGCAAGTGTCTTGAGGCACCCCTCGTATTTTAAATTTTATTGCAATTTTCTCAGTTTTGTCTAAGGTTCATCTAAAAATGTCTAAGCTTTTCTTAGACATTGGCTGCTTTTTCACTCATTTTAAGTCTGTGTATCTGACTATTTACATTTTCTTTGGCTGATTATATTACTGGTCCACCAAGCTGAGTTCCAACGAGATGTAAGTGGACAAATCGACATATCTGATCACGGTGTGCAGTTTATTTTTTAAAAACTAAAAAAGAAGACCTGGCAGGCCTAAAAAGCTGTCAACTTTGGATTAACAGCATCTGAAAGACATGTCGTGAGACCGGTTTTGGTTGATCCATCTACTGATCACTGAAGCCTCATCAAAATGGTCTGAAGGGCTGTTTCACTTAAGGAAGGGAAACAGGGAGCCAAATTACTTTACTTTAGTGACAACAGGTATTTGGTGTGGTGCTGGAAATTTGTGTCTAGATCCATCTGAAAATATGATGGAGTCTCTGTCATGGTTTGGGGCAGCAAATTATTCCATCACAATAGATCGACTTAGATTTTGATCCACCATCCAGTAATCTTGGAAAACATTTCATTTTCAGCATGTCAGTGATCACAAACACATTGCCAGTGCAGTAAAAGCATACCCGGATAGAAAAACACAATTAAAAAAAAACAATCAGTTATGGGCTGGCCTCCCCGGAGCCAAAACCTCAGCATTGTTGAAGCAGTGTGGGATCATTCTAACAAAGAATGGAACAAAAACCTGCCACCACCCAAAGCAGAACTTTGAACGCCATTTAAGAAGCCAGGGGAAATATATGTGAAGTCTACTTTTAAGACGACTAAATTAGAAGAAAAAATGTCTGAAAGAGTTTCCAGCTCCTTAAAATTGTAGAAACTTTGTTTTTGTGTACTTTTGCACGTTTCCCTAAAAACTGCTGCACCTATTTCCCATTTTTCCAGCAAAAACAAACAAACAAGGAGTATCTTGAGACTTTTGGACAGTACTTAATATTAATAAATGACACATACTTTACGTTTGCAGTGCCCGTGCATGTAAGTCTGATTAAAAAATAAAGTAAAACATTCCCAAAATATATCCCACGGGGTCTCAGCCAGATTAAGCGTGCTATGTCTGCTGGTGGCTAGCTCCCCTGCGCCTTTTGGGCAGCAGGGCAATTAGCAGAAAGCAGATGATCACTGTGCCCTCACCACTGTGGCGCCACTGGTCTCCCATGGTGCAACAGGGCAGGTGCACATTCGTCTGGAATAATGGTGGGTACAGGAAAAATACTAGCAAGGAACCATAAAGAAGTCATACACACACACAAACACACACACACACTAATCTAACAATGTGATGATGTCAGCATTCAGCCCCTGGTGAGTGGTGGTGTGTAAGCTAGTGGGAGTGGGAGGAGACAGGCTGGCAGTGGGCTTATGCATGTGTGTGTGTTTTAGAGAGGAGAGAGACGAGACCATCCGCCAATAACTGTGTGATGCAGCATTTCCCAGAGTGCAACATTATACTCCCATTACATTATCAGTATGTATGTGTGTGTGTGTGTGGGTGTGTGTGTGTGTGTGGTGTGTGTTGTGTGTGTGTGTGTGTGTGTGTGTGTGTGGTGTGTGTGTGTAATGGAACAGACAGACGGCGCCAGACAAAGTCGTAATAATAACAAACCAGACATGTGAACAACAGACATCAGATACACACACAGACATTTTTAGGTATATAAGGTGCATATATTCTAACTGTCAAGTGGTTCAGGTTCACTGCAGACCACCTGCAGGATGCACATATAGTTTGGTGAACGGAACAAGCTCTATCCACATATTAAACCTGACTCTTCGATTTCTAGTTGTGTGTATTAAGTAGTACTTACTGTTCACTGTTTAAGAACAATGCCAGAATCTTGTGGTCATCTATCCTGTGAAATAAGTTCCTGTTCTGCCCACTAAACATTAGGCTGTCCACAGAATCACAGCACAAAAACCCAACTCGGTGTCCCTGTATGGAATGAAGGGACGTGCAGTTTCTTTTCAAATTGCTCATAATCCAAACATCTACTGCAAACTGAAATGCCAGTAAAAATTCAAAGCAGCGAGATCAGATTAGCAAAACTCAAAGGGCGACTTTAAAAATCCCAGTTTTGAGAAAGCTTCAAGCTTTTTTTTAGGAGTTTCATAAAAAAACAAAAACACCCTGTAGCTTTATACAGCCAGTAGGTTTAATGAGCACCTCTAAATTGAAAGATTTGAGTATATACGTGTTTGTAGAAAACCTGTTACTTCATTTAAATGATAATTTCAGTATCTGTTGTCTCATAATTGTTACACAATCAGTAAATTCATTTGGCTCAAATTTCATTAGTAAAAGTTTGTTCACTAAACTCAAAAACATTTTTCTGTCGTGCTAAGTTTGATGAGGGAATCTTTCCATCCAAAAACACTTGCAGCAGAACATGTGTATTTTTAATTTTGATACAGTCATATTCAACTGTCAAAATTATCAGTCAAAACTGCACGAACTAGTTTTTGTTTGGATTTTTTTAATGACATTTGCACCTTTATTTTGACAGACACTACAGAAATAAGGTGGAACCCAACCACATCCAGCTGTTGCACCTTGGTCCACCGGCTCAAACAGGTGAGCTCTACATGCCCACAAGGCATTAAATGTTAGTGGTTGACCTGGAACAATTAATTAAAACTGTGCCACTTTCTCCAAATTGGTGTGGTCTGCTGTCTTCTAGTATCCTACACAAGCAGCAGTTTGAATCATACACTTTCATGGATTTCTTTAAAGCAATGATTATCAGGGACTACAACATCTAGTCCTTTTACTGAATTAAGCAGTTTTGCTGTTTGTAAACTGAAACTACCTCTGATGTCAAATGAGTCAGCAATATGAGCTCGCTGCAACATCTCCGCTCCTGCGAGCAACGTGTACTGCTTTATGTGTGTGTGTGTGTGTATTTGAAATAAGGTGTGAGAGTATGAGATCATTCTTCTGGAGAATACTCAGTGAAAGGCAACGCAGCAAATACTGCTGTGACACCGGTCTGAAATCACTTTTTATTCCGGACAGAATGAGCTCACAGCTCTGCAGCTCTTTCCAGTGATCACAATGAATAATGCAATTGATGACAACATAAATAAGAAAAAAAAATATGGTGATTTTGCAATAAGACTGTCGACCTCGGCTTGTAAATAGCAACTTTCAATTTTTAGTTTCAAAGGTGCTACGACTTCCTGATAGAGTATTTTTGACAGAGACATTTGCCAAGGTTATGGGCACGTTAAATATCTGAGTGACAGCCATAAAACACTTTTCGTAAGAGAAAAATAACTGAAGAAAAAAAAAAAGATACAATAATCAAGAGAATGGAAAATTAGACACCTTTAGAAAAATGAGTTATAAATCAACAAGCTACATGATGCTAAAGCTACCTCTTGAAACAGATGTACTTGAGCACTGGGGGAGATAATTATTTGATCTCCTGCTGAATTTGTACATTGCTCACTTCCAAAGAAATTAAGTATTTTTTCTTGGTAGTTTAATTTAATGGAGAGTGGAAAACCCAGGAAACAAATCACATTACTTAAAAGTTATGCATTAAATTGCATTCCACTGAGTGAAATAAGTATGGTGGAGAAACCTTTTAGCTAGCACATATTTGCACATATCTCAGGGGAGATCTTGTCCCACTTTCAAAATTCTTTGGGTTTCTTGGCTCCCTCTATAGACCTTCTACCTCCAAATGGAGGTCTGGATACTGGCAAGGCTACTCTATGACGATAATGTGCTTATGGTTTAGCCAATCCTTTGTTGCCTTCGTGGTAGCTTTTGGGTCACTGTCATGCTGGAAGACCCATCCACAACCCAAGGAAAGGAGGTTCTCTCAACCACGATTTTACTGTATATGACCCCATTCATTGGCCCCTCAATGCAGTCAAGTCACCAAAGAGCTCGATTTTGGTTTCATCTGACCACAGCACTTGCTCCCAAGTTTCTCTAAAGCATTTAGATGTCCTTCTTTAGCATGGGGACCCTGCAGGTGCTGGAAAATTTAAATCCATTTCGCCGTAGTGTGTTACCAATGGTGTTCTTAGTGACTGTGGTCTCAACTGCCTTCAGATCATTAACAAGCTCCTCCTGTGTAGTTTTGTTCTGATCCACTTCCTTTCTCATGATCATCCTCACCCCATGAACAAGATCTCGAATGGAGCTCCAGACGAGAGTGACTCATTAATATCATCTTATATTTGTTCCATTTACAAATAAGCTCTCTAAGCTTCGTGCTGATGGACTTGTAGCCCATTCCACCCTTGTGCAGGTCTGCAATCTTGTCCCTGATGTCCTGTCACAGCTCTTTGGTCTTGGCCAAGATGGTGAAAAGATGTGCACATAATGAGTTGAGATCAGCCGATCTGGCTAGGGTGTAGGGGATCAAATACTTATTTCAATAATTGAGATGCAAATCAATTTATAATTTTTATGTCAAACGTTTTTTGTTTTGTGTTTTTTTTTCTCCTCCCTCCATCAAAATAAAACTACCATAAAAATTAGAGCAAACTTACAAATTCAGCAGGGGTCAAATAACTATTTACCCCACTGTAAGTCTTATTGTACTGCTGTTCCAGCTCTGAGTAATATCACTTTTGATGTTCACAGAAAACAATCTAAGTAAGCAATTACACCACAGTAGGTCATTTTTTTAAAGAAGAAAGCCTGACACATGAGGTAACTCTGAGGTCATGCTAGTAACACCTTCCACAGTTGCTCATAGCGTGATCAGTGCACAAACCCCATGTTGTGTCTGTCACAAGATCAGTAAAACTGTACTCATCCAAAAGCTCTTTCTGTCTTCTGCCCCCTCCTTACTCCCTCTGCGTCCTTCTCTCCCTCCTCATCCTCCCTCGGGCCCTGCTGGTCTTGGCACAAAGATGCCAACCTGTCTGGCTGCATTTCCCTTGGCACGACGGTGACAGCTGGGGGCCTGGCTGCCCTGTCTGACTCCATACTCCCCGCTATATCGCACACACACACACACACACACACACACACACAGTTTACGTTCACAGCTTGCAGGCAGACTGGTGTCATCATGTGAGTGCCGGGGGTAGCAGAACCCACAGGAGGGGAGAGCTGGAGGAAAAAATGGAGGAGAAGGAACGGGGTGGTGGAAGGGAGGGGTGCATGGATGGGCAATTGGGCTTACAGACAGCCAGATGCTGCCAATTAACTTCTCCGGCCACCGCAGGGCTGCAGGGAGAGAGTCTGGCACCCATACCATTCAGCCCCCATCCGCCCAAACACACATTTTCTGTTGGCTTATGGTAGCAGCAACACTCTGTGTGCCTTGTGTGGGAGACGAGATGAGGGCCACATATGTCCTCAGAGCTTTGGAGCCAATAAACACATACACCTGGTCTACAGTAACTGCTGAACTCTTCTCTTCTTTTCTCTTCTCTTCGCTTCTCTTCTCAACAGGTGGGCAGATGAAAAGGCGAACTGGCGATTCAGGCAACCATGTCTGCATACACATGAGTGTGCATTTGTGTGCGCGTGGATATGTGATATATCTAGTTTTCTGATATATTAAGCAGGTAGGTTGCACATGGACGTATTCTCTCTACGTTATCACAGACTAACTGCTTGACACTGAAATCAACGATCTGTCTGAGTCCTACAATTTAGCTATAGGCTATATACCAAGTTTAAAAAAATATGTATTGGTATATTTTCAAAAGAGATAAAGTCCCCACGCTCATGAAGCCCCAGCCCACGCTTGCGCTCAAAGTTCAACACTATGGAGTCGGGATGAGAATTAATAACAATGTAGCAATTCCGATACCATTATCGATTATCAATTCAACTCCTTATCCATCCTCTTATCGATTCTCATTGGGTTCAAATCCCATCTATAAACAGCACCGCTGAGGCTTAAATGTACACATCAGCTTAACGTTAAGATTGCTTGTACGGCAACAGTTGACGAAGTTCACTGATTTGTGGAAACTGCACAAAGAAAGAAATCGATTTTCAAACCACTGGATAAAAACATCACTTCACAGAAAACAGGAGTTGTGAGTCTGCTGTGTGACTTGAGTTTAAATGTTAGTTTGGATCTAAACAAACCGGCTGAGACTGAAAAGTCACACACTAACAGTAACACTATCAAACTAATGGATGAGGCTCTAAAAGACCAGCAACTCCTGTGTTTTGTGAGGTAAGATTCCTGTTTTTGTCAGTGGAGTCTAGTGGCTTTGACAAGAGTCTGACAACAAAGGAGAGAAATATTTTAAATAATTAGGGGTTAAAATATATTTGCTGCTGATTGCATTTCTGTAGAAGGTGCTTCTGACTGCCTGGAGGTGTGCTTACTGCCATCTATTGTAAGTAGATAGTATACAGCCTGTAACATTGAATGTGGATCAGAACCTCACAGGAAACTGATATATTACTGAATGAGTGAAAATAGTGCATGGGCTTTATCTTAAACAACAGAATGCTGTTAATGTTTTCTTCCCAAATAATAATAATAATAATAATAATGATAATAATAATAAAAGCCATGGTTCCTGACTCAGAAAACAGCTGCTACTCTATTTTCTATTTTGATAAACATATGTGTCATATTCCACTTTTTGCATTCATACAGAATACAGAGATAGTTGTTGGTGTCAAAAAGGTTGATCTAAATATTTTAGAAACTGCTGATGTGCTGGGATTTTCACCTCAAGGGTTTGAATGGTCTGCAAAAGAGAAACTATCCCCAGGCCTGCAACAATTCATCCACATAATCGATGACGTAGACTAGAAACACTTCGTTGACTTGGAATTTTATTGCTGACGCGCCATGCTATACCAGTATCGCCAAGACGAGCTGCCAAAACAGCACATAAGCCAAAGCCCAGCTAGCCCAGTCGGTAGCGCATGAGACTCTTAACCCTCAGGGTCATGGGTTTGAGCCCCATGTTGGGCGCAACAAAAATATATGATGATAACAAGGGGATTTTCTATTCTGATAATAATGAAGAAGAACAAATATGAGCTCCCTTCCACAACAGCATACTACAGTGCACAAGAATTTAAAACACCTGCAAACTGGAGTGAAATGCGATACTTGTTTTCTCGCATTAATATTAACGTTAGTTATCAGCAGCTGGGAACAGCTCATCTCAAAGATAAGAACAAACCTCACTCCAGTCCAAGTCCACTGCTGCAATCGTGAATTCATGAACCGCCTGTAAATTTTGGACTTGAAAAAAAAAATCTTTTGGATTTAATTGGATTATTTGAACTTATGGACAGAAGACATTTTTACTTTCCTATTTGCAAAAGATTTTTTGTTTAAACACTAGCACTTTAATTTGTATTACTTTAAATTTTATTTATTTCATTTTAATTCTGATGGTCCTGTTGAATAATGTTTAAATACATTTGATTACTTTCAAATTCATATGTAATATGAAATATCAGAATACGACAGATGGGTTGGAATCTAAACATCTAAAGTGGTCAAACTTTTGCACACTTCTATTTGTGTGCATATTTGTCCAAGTGAGTGCATGCTGTCAGGCTATGTAGGTGATTATAACAGACAGAAGGAATTACAGGCTATTACAGACGAGAGCCTGTGGCTGGAGCAGCCAGAGCTGTATTACCCTTAAAGGCTTATGGCTCTCAAAAAGCCAGCCTATTATTCCCACCACAGCACACAGCTGCCTGCTGAATGTCAAAGACATAAATATATAAAACAAGCATGAATCTACACAATGATATAGTACTCGTATTTTACAGTTTCATTTGAAAACAAAGTATGCCACATTTGGCTTGAAAAAACACAAACTGAGCTTGGCATTTGCCTGCAGGCTCGGAGTCCGCCATTTACACGGGACAAATTACTACGTTCTACAATCTCATAGACCACATAAGCCACATTAAGAGGACAAACCCTGAATGCCTTAAAGGATAAGTCTAAAGTAGCCCATATTTTCTTACTGTCAACAAAACATCTGAAAAGAGTAAAACTAACAATGAACAGATCATTCTCCCTCCGCCTACTGTGAATTCTTTTGTCATCATGAGAAAACTACCTAATTATAATTATCAGAAATGAAAGTGTGCATCAGAATCTCATGATTACATCTGTTTGACCATGATCAATTCACAAAAACACACACACACACACAGTCTGTCAGATGAGCCCATTCCCTCACTGTTCTGAGTGACAGATGACGTGTCATGGAGCTAAACGGGAGAATATTTTAGCACGGATCGGAAAAGGAGAGACGGGAAAAGGAGAAAAAAAGAGAAATTGCTCCATTACACCACAGAGGTAAATCATTCGATGTGCTAGAGATCACAGAATGCCATTTACACTTACACACATGTTCACACGGTCACGTGTGCATACAGGATTTCTGTTGGTGTTGCTGTACTTGCACTCTCTCCCTGTTTCACACACACACACACACACACACACACACACACACACACACACACACACACACACACACACACACGCTGATCATCAGAATCCAAGCATGAGAAAAGCTGAGAGGCTGGATCAATGTTGGGCTCTGGTGATTAGCCTTAATTGAGGAAAAAGCGCTATGGGAACAAAGAAACATTATGACCTTTTCCCTGTCTGCACACACTGCGCGCTAATAAGACACATTCACATAATATCATACTGACCAGAATCGGCTAACTACATCAAAAGCACCTTCTCATAGGAACCATATGCAAATGGATGGCAGAGACAGAAAAACAAACCCAGCAGATAATTGACGATCCTTGCCATGTTTTTGTGCGTGAATGGCAATTTTCACTCTCCTGTCGAGTGCATGCTGATTATTCTATCAGACAAAAAGAGTTCCATACGCGATGAAAAGATTGGCAGAGGTTCACATGGTGCTGTGGAATGGCCTGTCTTTCCTTCTCTCTCATTTCTCCTCTTTCTACATCCTCCCTGTTTGTCTGTCTGTCTCTTTCTCTCTCTCGCTCTCTTTCTGTGCGTGTCAGTTACTGACTGAGTCAAATACCACTTGTCAGGAGAGTGCTGTTTGGACTGACATGAGATAAGAACAGACCAACTAGACAGTTATATGTTATTCCTGTTGCTGCTCTCTGGAATGAGACTGTGATGTACAAGTATTGCCTGGACCAGGGGCAATAATAACACGGAGGCCTATAGTGCAGACTAACAGAACTACTCCAGACACCAAACGAGTGGATAACTTAGTATATACGTATGTAGCTCCTCACATTATATGTCAGAATCTAGTTGTTGTTAATATCATAAGCGCTAATTCAGATAAGGTGTTTCTGTATCCTTCCTCATCTACAGTTTAGCTGTTTTCCACTTTGAAGCTGGGCGGAGTTCACTGCAGCTGAGCTGTGTGCTGAGGTGAACACCAAACTGTACTTAAAGAATAACGACTCCCACACTAATAATGGTGTTTGTTCTGCAAGCCTTACCCGCATCCTCAACAATTCGACTGTAGTGAAAAACTACATCACACAGACTGCATGTCTTAGCATAACGTGGAGCAGATTCAATCAGGAACATGTAAAAATGCCACTGTTATAGAGCAACCTGCAAAATATCCAACTCCTTGAGTCTTTTTTTTGAATTGAATTTGTTATAAGATAACACTATATATAACAACTTTATAGAATTATATTTGTTTGTAGATGTTGGCAGCTATCAGCGAATAGTTATCAGCTATTTTGAAACAAAAAAAAGACTTTTATCCATAACAAGAACGCCATAACAGCAAATGAACTGTACAACAGAAAATGCAAATGCTATTAATGGTCTCCTCACAACAATGATACGAAAAATAAGGTCTCTGAGTGTCCAGCATTCAGACGTCTACCTGAGGACACTCATGTGAGAGAAAATCTGCTCACACAGATGTGTAGAGCCAAATACTGTCAATAAGCCTCTGCAATTTCTGAAGACAGTTAAACTTGTCAGGTAGTGATGTCCAGCAGGTGAAAATGCAGCT